TTCTTTTATATCGAAACATTTAGCAATTAATCATAATGTGTAAGTGCTTTGAAAAAAAATGTTACAATGAAAATGAATGTACTTTTTTTGTTGATTAATTATCTGCTGCTCATAGTGTTTGCACAAATGTTGTAAGTTTACACATCCTATTTAATACTGAAAATTTAATATACATTTAACATTATAATATTTTTTACTTTTATATATGAATAAAAAAGAAATAAATGGTGGAAAGTAAATTTGAATTCCAATTTAATCTATGTATTCAATAAATTATTCGTTGTTTTTATACCTTATAATGAAGCCACAATCAACATGAATATATGTAAGCACTATTTGACTACAATTAAAATCTTTCTTTAAATTATCAAACAAAATGTGTTTCGAATTGTAGTATGATTATACGCAAAGTTAATAAATCATTTCACTTGGAGAATTTTTTTAACTAAATTAATATCTTGGAACAGATTGTTTAAAATATAATCATTTTTTAAAAACAACTTAAATAAACCAAACTTTGAAAAGAATAATCAATATATAGTAGAAGAAAATGCATATAATTTTAATAACTACGAAACAATATCACATGAAATTAGTTAAAAATATACGTAAATATGAAAAGGATAAATAATTTTAAAAAATAGCTGGAAAGAATTCAAAAATGAGAAGAAATATTACTTAAGAAACAGTTACAATCAAAATTTTTCCTTTAAAATAACCTTTCTAAAATAGTTAATAAGCGCATATAATGATCTATAAAACAAGATTAATAAACGAAGAAAATGTGAATGCAAAAATAATTATAAGATGCCAAAAAATAACAATCCATTTTGCACTTTTACATACTTTATGAAATATTACTTTATAAATTATTTATCGTTATAAAATATATTTTAGCATATGGTACTCTATCACTGTAAATATGAATATAGTCTAACTAAAAGTTATTAACTATACTCATAGACAAAAACATTAGCGCACCAAGAAGAAGCGTCAAAATGAAACGAAATTTTACATACGTACTGACTTGCTGCCTCAAATTATCCCATATATGCTCGATAAGAGACAAATCTGGTGATCGGGCAGGCCAAGGAAGGGTGGTAAAAGTGCAGAGACAGCCTTGTGACATCCTTGCCGTGTGAAGCCGAGTATTGTCTTGTTGAAAAATGGATCCTGGGAGCCGCTGGATGAGTGGCAACACATGTGGTTGCAGGATGTCATGGACATATCCCTTGGCTGTCATGGTGTCACGGATCAATACTAGAGGTGACCGTGTATTGTAGGCAATGACACCCCATACCATCACACCAGCTGTGGGAGCGCTGTTTCGCTGTAAAGATAAGGCAGGATTGAGGCGTTAACCAGGGGGTCTCCACACACGAACACGATTGTTATCACAACTGAGATTGAATCTGGATTTGTCGCTAAAGATGACCTGGTTCCATTCCGCTGCAGTCCAGTTTCCTTGTGCGCGGCACCATTCCAAACGGAGGCGTCGATGGGTGGGCATCAAGGGCAGCACACGTAATGGGCACCACGATCCCAAATGTCCTTCAGCCAGGCGGATTCGTGTAAGACACGAGTGTCCCTAGTGAAGGCGCTACCTGTGTCTGGATGGTGGCCGATGAAGCAATAGGCTATACCCGTTCTTACAATGTGACGGTCTTCTTGACAACTTGTTTTTCGAGGACGTCCTGCGCCTGGTCTTCGTGCAAATGACATCTTTCGGATCCACTGGTCTCAATACCTCCTCAAAACACAATCAGAGTGGCCTAATTGGTGAGCTACTCGCATAGCTGACCACCTAGCTTTCATCATGCCGATGATTCCCCCCCCCTCTCAAACTGCGACAGCTGTTTATAGTGTCTTCGAAAATGGCGTAATGGCCTGTCTACCTCAGGTCCTTCTTTGTAAACGATTCAGCACACTCAAATAAACTTTGGTTACCTACTTTATACACCACGGAGAACGACGTTAAATGTCCTCTACCGGCTATACGCAATGTGCAATCACGCTGCATTTCTAATCATTTGTATATCTCCCCGACATGTACCTCAATGCCAAGTTTCGTTACGATCATGTAATTAACTCTTGGTGCGCTTTTTTGTCGATGAGGGTAAATTAATTCTTAAACTTATTCATGAAACTTTTAGAAAATATTCTCAGTACCTTCATAGTTATTACGCATTTGTCAAAATTTAAAAAAAGTTTCGGAGGCGAAAGTAAAAAAAATATTTACCACTTCCTTTTTACTTCTACCCAGCTTATTAAATATTTAGATTAAGAAAATGTGTTGCATTACAAAAGTAATTCTAAAATTTCTTTTTTTAGATGCTACAAAAACTTTTGCATTAAGAATATTTTCTCTCCAATTCTTCTTCCTCTCAACCATAACTAGTTTGTTGAACCCAAACTTGACTAAATTGCTTTCTTTCTAGTTTGATTATCTCAACAAAATTTTCAAGAAAGAGAAAAAAACTAAGTAGCCTTAACTAATTTTTGGTAGAGACGCTTACTTCATGTTGGAAAAAAATAAGTGTTCTAAGAAATTTCCCTTCTTTCTCAGTGTTGAAGTGAATATAATTCTTAGTGCGTAAACTAAATGCAAGCCATCTTTCAAATAACGTGGTCATGTTTATTGTTCTTAGAAATTTGAAAATAAAATACAATTTTGATTTTGTGTGTGTGTGTTTATTCACTACATAATAATTGAAGAACTTTCAATTTAATATTCTGCACTCTTAATGGAGTATGTTTCATTTTTAAACGTACCCAAAAAATTAAAAGAGAATTGAACATTAAGAGAACTTATCACATAATGTGATTTCTAGCAAGTTTATAACAATACTTAAATTGCTTGAGTCTACTAATTGGTATTTTACGAAAAAAATACAAAATCTGAAAATAAAAAATAAGTTTTGTTGCACGTTCGTGTGCACACAAACACATATATAGATTTTATTTTTCCGTTAAACTATCTAACAGACTTGTTAAGTTGAAGAATATCTGAATAAAACTATTTAATATTTCAAAAGTTTTTTTTGGGAGTAATATTACATTTTATTAGGATGTAGTAAATAATTTCATAACATTCAGTATTATAATAATGTTGATTTTTGCTACTAATTGCAACATTCTTATGAAATGCAATCTTTTTTGAAAGTTCAATTCCTCAAGCGCATTTGTAAAATAAACAATTTTTGGAAAACAAATTCTTATTCTTTGGTATTAGAACAACTAATGCAACTTGGTAGGGCTATAAAAGAGGAATATTCATGAAGAGGAAATTCAATGTAGTGGAAGACTCAAAGTTGTAATTATCTTTATTTCTTATTATATTTGACGGTTAAAAAAGTAAACAGAAATAAAAGGATCTTGTTAATTATTGTGTTTATTATGTACCAGTTTTTCAATTCCTGCTATTAGTTCATACTATCTCTCTATATATTTATTTATACACTCTATAACAAAAGAACGACGAACCAAGAGCGAGTTGTCCGATAGAGACAAAAATTGGTGGGTAGAAAGATCATGTATGGAATAAGAAATTAAATTTCAGAAAAATTGACTGATTCTTTTCAGAATTACATAGTTACAAAGTAACGAGCTCAATAAGGAGTTGACCCACCTCTAGCCTGAATGCAAGCTGCCACACGACGTGACATAGAGTAATAAAACTCCCTGATGGTCTCCTGCGATATTTCTTGACAAATTTGCTACAATTGTCGGGTTAGGTTATCAACATTCCCTGGTAGATGCAGTCGCCTATCCCAACATATCCCAGACATGCTCCATTGAAGAGGGGTCTGGTAATCTGAAGTGTTTAAGAAGGTGTAAGACAGTTCATAGCAACACGTGTGGTATGTGCTTTTGTATTATCTGGCTGAAAAATATGGCCAGGGTACTGCAAAAAGAACGGTAGCAAAACAGTTCTCAGAAGGCCGTCGACGTACCGATGTGCTGTAAGTGTGCCTCTAACGACGACCATAAAGAAAGCAAGATCGGCACTCTGCCCTGGCCGTCTCCAGACACTTCTTCGATGCTCTTCCGGACACAGTTGGAAGCAGAAGTCTTCGCTAAACACTGACACTGTACGTCCCCAGTCAGCATGATTCTAACCTGATCGAGCCAAGCAACACTGTAATCTGGCTCGACAGTGTGTATGCGCGATTGACCCTTAACGTAGCAGTCGGTACGAGAGTAAATTTAGCTCTATCAGCCGTCTGTGAATAGTCATGGAGGACACTTGTGTGTGGGTCGTACGTCTGATGGTTCACAACTATGAATCAAGCTCTGTGACAGCTGATATGACAATCAATCCATCCTCCTGATCTGCTGTGTCCTTAGGTCGACCTCTACCATCATGACGCTGAAATCTGCCACTGCCCACCCATTCTTGTCAGCATCTTCTAATGGCCGCATCGCTTCGACCCATATGTCGAGCGATTCTCCAATTTACCCGACCTCCCTCTTTCAGTTCAATGATACAACCTCTTTCAAACTCTGACAGTTGCTCTTAATGAGCTCGAATCCTGCGGCAAGGCATTTTTTTCAGTTGCTCAAAGGTATCCTAAATCTCAATGCAACAGAAATTTTCACCATCAGATTGAGAATCGCTTCTTATAGACACCTGCTGAGTGCGCAGTTCGGATGCGCTGTAGTTCCAGCTATTCATTCGTCGGACACCAAATTTTAATCATTTGCATGTTTGGTTGAAATGTCTTTGTATACGAAATTTCATTACAATCAGCCAACTCCTTCTTGGTGCGTCGTTTTTTTTGTTATAGAGTATATATCTTGCTCAAATTTTCAATCGTTAATAAATTACTCTGTATTCATCCACTCAAGTTCAAATACATTTTTTTAACTTGTAACGGATGACACTTGTTGTTAATACAGTTCTTTCAAATATTAAATCATTAAATAAATTTAATTAATGAATAAATAGTTACAAAATCAATAGTCCAACACCATGTATAAAAAGAAATATTGCTCATTGTGTCCCTATAGCGCAATGGATAGCGTATTGAAATTCCAATCCAAAGGCCGTGGGTTTGAATCCCACCTGGGATGGCCTGATTTCTGAGAATGTTATTTCTCTTTACTCTACTACTTTGTTGGAATAATGAAATTTAATTAATGAATAATAGCAACAAACAAAAATAATAGTCAAGCACCATATGTAGAAAGAAAAATAGAAAATTGCTAGGAAAATCGCTCTTTATTGTGCCACGTAAAAGTATGATTCTTTCATATGTATATACATATTTATATCAATTGTAATTGTTTAATAAAAAGTAACTAAAATTAAATTTTTCTTTGTTGACCTAAGTAAGAATTGACTTTAAAAAACTTTTTTATGTTACTTGTACTGAATGTATTTAATTTTAAGATGCTTCTTTTCCATCATGTCTATTAGTGTCTCACAAAGTTTTCTAAAATTTATTACCGAAAGTTCCAAAATTATATGAAATTATAAAATAAATTATTTTTGAGAAAAGATTTTTCATGATATGTGTAATGTAAACAGGGTGTCACATAAATAGCACCTAAACTTTGAACATCCATATTCCTCGATGCGAGTATACAAAAAAAACCAAGGAATTATACCCACACGATCCGTAGTTTAGGAAAAAAATACGGGTTAAATGATGATCCACACATGGTGATAAATGAAAGGTGGCTAGATTGCTACCAAACCTGTTCTATGGTCGCCACGATCGTCAGATCTCATACCGGTGGTTTTTTAACACCCTTTTATAGGCTTCACTTGTATATAATGGAATCTTTGAACTCAATTTTTGTCCACTTTAAAAGGTCAGATAATCCGAAATTTTGCTCACTTGTCCAGGGCCGATGAACATATAATAATTTAATAGTTTTGTTCCGTTGTCATAATCAAGATCATCAGGATTTAGGATTTCCATTTTCAGATCCCATCCCGCATCTGGCGACTAATTCCAGATTACATTTCTAGATTTGGCGACAAAAAGATTAAGTTACAATTTAGTTCGATTAACTATAAAAGGATGTGTTTTAGTTTTTTAAACTGCAAATTATTATTTTATCTTTGAGTTACTCTCAAATAATTGGTGTATGGAGATTTAGTGGCTACAAACGGACTTACTTGCGCGTCTGCAAGCTGCTTGTATTTCTGTCGATACCGCGCTACTGCGAAGTGTGTACCCATAGATCAATATGCGGGGCGTATACTTAGAGCAACTTCCTTTACTAATACATTCAAATGCCGCTGTTGGTGTGTCTTATAAAACTGTGACCTCATACTTTGTTTTTAGTATTGTTCTCGAAAGCAATGAATAGTACAGGTACAGTACTTTGGGCCTTTCTTTATCATTGATTGATTGAATGTTAACGTCGCACTGTTCAGCTGCACGAGGGCTTTTGGCGACGGACCACGTAATTTTGAACCCTGGTCAAGTGACGTGGACGACACTTGAACTAGCACCCCCTCTCCTAACTACCATACCACACTAACGGGACGACGCTTCAGCTCTCGACAGATTTAACGTGCATCGCTGCCCTACACGGCGGGTCTTTAGTGGTACTGGGCTCGAACTCGTGCCCAAGCCACGATCTGATACCTATACCACTCGGCTACCGCGGCCGCCTTTCTTTATATACTCCTAATAAGGAATCTGGCTGTGTAAAGTTTGAGGGCTATTTTTGAAACACCCTGTATTGTACGAGCATAACTTTTTATTTGCAAGAAAAACATCTCAAGTAATTAATCTTCCCCATTTTCATTTACTTTTATTTTTTTTAATTATTTTTTCTGTTTACTTTATTTTACTTATTTATAATTATTTAGTCGAAACATTCGTTAGAACATTATACACTTTTAAAGTAATAGCTCGTTCCTACCTATATCTCCTAACTACATTTCAAGTCTTTAAGATTTTAAATCATTATTTTCATTTCTATTTATTTATTTATTTATAGTATTAGAAGGAAAATATTTATTGTGAGATAATAGTACAATCCCCACTTCTTTCAGTTGTATTTTTGATTTCAATTCAACATCTTAATTAGTTTTTATTTTTAATTTTTTTTTACCTTTTATTAACACTCGAAGTGATTTATTATGCACTCAAGTCCTGTTTTTACTGGTTTTGGTGAAAACAATATTGAAAATCAGCTCTTCTTTTTAATGTGGAAAAAAAACTGATGCAAAAAGAGTGTTATATTCGATTCTATTCATTTCAACTCTTTTAGGGCATTCAAGTTTTATAATATCCTTTCATTTGAGAGTGCATTCTCAGGTTCGAATAGCTTTCCGTTAAATAAAATGCATTATGTGAAAAACTTTTCGTTTAAATTCTTTGTGGCTATGGTTTTACGATATTCTTCTATATATTTGATATTCTCTTCGAGAGAGACTTTTATTGTCCCTAAGTACTTTTTTTAACTCTTATTTGAAGCAAAAATATAAAAAAAGTTTGTTATCTTTTGAAAACAATATTATAAGAAAATATTCCGAACTCTCCAAATTCATATCTTAATTTTTTCATTATGTAAATACAATTTGTTTTTCAGTATAACTAATTAGCTAGCCAAAAATGAAGGCTTTTATACATAATTCGTAATATATACTCAATACCATACATAATTAGAAGTCTGGAAGCTAACATCATTAAATAACAGTATTCTAAGTAACATTTAAATTATTTTAACATTAATTATTTTAGATTTCAGTCTATATTCTATATCAGTTTATACATTTTTATTCATATTAGTTCAGTTTGACATCAACCATTCCAACAATGCATATGTGACAAATAATTGGTAAGAATTCTATATAAAATATAACTATATATATATAAAATTCAAAACAATATAACTTAATATTCAAACCAAGTGAATCTGGGTTGAGGACACGCGCAAAACGTATTACCAAATAATCACATAATTGACCACTATGTATAACTTTACCGACTAATCCTAATCTCAATAAATACACAGTTCCTAGTAGTTTAATTAAATGGTCTTACCGCCCTAACTTGGGTAAGCGGCAATTCACTTGAATCCTAACTGACGTGGCGGTTATCCTTGTAGAATGGTATCCACCTTTAACTTGAACACACTGGCATGGATAAATTAAATCTTGAATGCGGTATTTACTCTCACTTAGGCTTAAAGACTTGTACACATAGACCTCGTATTTTCACTTCCCATAGTCACACTGCATACGCTAAACTTTTACTATTTATAAGATCCCTAATTTGAATATTTTACGTTTCACTTCTCGAATTTGTTGGAAAGAATTGCCATTCTAGCCCCAGAGAAACCCAAAAGGCGTTTTAGTAGAAATCGCGATGAGCTGGTTACAAGTGGTAAGATATACATCAGACGTAAAGCATGTTTACAATACAAACAATGCATCACAGCTCGACGTCATAAATACAACAAGTGATTTTGACACATGTATTGTTCGGACTTGCGGTCGCATAGGTCATAGCACAACCGACACCAACGGATGAAAGATTATTGGACGCTTTCAAACAAATCCGTTGTGCTGGTGAGTTCAGCTGAAACAATGACGTCTCAAACGCAAGCGATTTCATGTGGTCCCAGAAGAAAAAAAGCCATAGGAATAGAGGTCCGAGGGGACTTGCAGGTCAAGTAACATGTCCACTGCATTCAAATCATCTCTCGGGTTATGTAGTATGGAGGTGGTTTCGCACTACAATCGAAAAATTGGCTGATGCACCATTGTGCATCACTTTCTGGTGCCCTGTGGCCTGTACTTCCTGTAGCAACTCCAGGAGAAATAGGATACTTGCATGTGTGCAGGTTTTGTTCAACACTCCCATGGCGCTCCAAATCCTCACATTCATTTGGCCACTCTCTTCGTCTGGCTCATTGTACTCCCGACGGCTACTATTACCGAGATTTTTACTGGCAAATTTTGTTTGCGATCCCATGTTCTATGTTGATTTGCCATCCCCATGCTGCCTACTATCAACTCTCTGAATTTGTCAGTCGATTGCGGCATCACCAGGAATAATTTTTGAATAACTGAAAGGGCTAAATTCATAACGTTCTGCTAACAAATTCAATTCCATTCTACCCATTGAATTCAAAGCCGACATTAATCTTGTTCTTCTACTTGTAAAACTTAGATAAAGTTTTATTTTTATAATTGGGTAAATATGTCCAAATACTGAAATTCTCAAAAAGGATTTCAAAGTTAAAAAATTTTTCTATGTATTTTTATGTCAAGTGTTATCTGTTCATCTCTCTGAACTGTTATTATTGACAAATATGTACTTTCTAAAAAGGAAGTTTCAGTAAAAAGCAAAATTTGAGAACAGTAAATCGCATGAATTGATTGGCTGGAAATGCGTGATTGCATACTCCATTGGATCATTAATTTACAACTGAAGCTTCATCAAGAAAATCCTTTTACTCGATTTTTCAGTTAACAATTAAGTATTTGAATACAATTTCGTTCAGCCGCATTTTTCTATTATCTGAGAAATTGAGACAGATTTACCATTTTCCCAAATTCCTGAATAAATGTTGGTTGATATTATTGTAGGAACTGGAACTGTGCAGTGATTTCATGCGAATCGTTTCATGTGTGAATAGTCGCTTTACAAAAAAAATGTTGTTTAGTGACGGGGAAAAATGCTAAGTTATCCTTTACGTTGGAAAATCGTATTGAAAGAGTAGTAAATTATTCCTTTTGAAACTGCAAAGCGTCTAGAGTAAATTTCTATCAAAAATATATGACGCATAATTTGTCGTCGAAGAGTAAACGGTTGAGTCAGCAGACACATTGGATGCACCAGCCGTTTTCCTGTCTGCGTATCAGGACGCGAAATGTGTAGAGACTTTTATCCAGAAACACTCTTCTTCAACATGTTTACTCAATTTACTTTCAAAAGACAGCAAATACTCTATTGAAAGTAGAATATTACCATAAAATTCTTCAGCAATGCCTCTTATTTTCAATTGTAAATAGAAGTTGCTAAACAGATTAAATCAGGTAGCTATGAGGTTAATATCAAAAATCTTCTGAAAAAAGTTTAAATTTCGCAAAGGTTTTCTGT